TCGACCAAGTAATAACGTTAAAAAGTCCGATTGCGTACGTTTTTCAAAGTGATAATATATATTTTTCTTAATAATAAAATCAGATTTGTTGTATTTATTTATTGACAATTCAATCTTTTCCATTTCTGTTATAATAGTCGCTATTAATTCAGTTTCAACGAACTACCACCAACACCAGTCGTTAAATGTTTACGATGACGAAATAAAAAAGTGTGTGGAAGTCAGCAACTTATTTGACACCGCAAAGCTAGATTTTCGCGAAGTGCATGTAAACAACACAATTGAGCGATCTAAAAACAAAACTGGACAGAAAGGTCCATAAAGTATACAGACGTTTTAATGAAAATTAAAACATTTTTTTAAATGGAAGAATGCTAGCTAGCGATTAAAATAATTCGTTTTTTATCGAAGGTCAAGTAAGCTAGGGTCTAGAGAATCTACTACTTAGATTGCGATAGAACACGCTGCTGCACTGTCGTTGGTTCTTACTGGTCGGCTAGAAAACCTTCTCTACAGTAGTTTACAATTTTTTTGAACGAATACGACTTGGTACTAGAGGTTCGTAAAATACAGTAGATGTTTTATTAAACAAGCCTTTCCACCGTGTCACGTCGACGGCCTGAAACTGGCTGGCTGTTTATCTGGCTCTTACTTGGTATCGAACGCAATTAGGGGATTATCGTATCATGTTTCAAGACGGGTATATCTAGATAAAGTTCGACGTGAACCAGGCTATTGTTTGGAATCACGCTGACATGACTTTGGACATCATATTATGTCATGAAGCACATTAAACCCTTCGGTACAGTGTTAATATTCAATTCTCTATTAAACTTTCTTGTCTTCATTAATGTTTTGCCCCTTAATAATAATAATAAATAATATAGTAATATCATATTATATTGCAAAACATGCTCCTCTGTGCTTTACAAAAAAAAAAGAGGTCGCGAATGAAAAAACGTTAACTGTTAACATTTTGTCAATATTTTTTAATCATATTATTAATTTCTAAAAGTGAAATATGATATTGTCATTTTATTTTTACTTGTTATTTATATTTTTTTACTTTTTATACAACATATACATAGTTGTTTATATTTTGATAAAAATCTAAAGTGTCAGTCACTCAGTCATTTTGATGCACTTCTGAATTTTAGGATCGTTATATAATTTTAACCAAAAATGGTTGAGAGAATTTTATACTCTCAGCACTTTCTAACTAAAGATATTGATGATTTTTTTTACAACGAGGCAGACGAGGATGCTGTACTTTAAAACATATGCCTTAAATAATGTTATTTTAAGACAAGGGCCTACTTTATTTTTGGGATATGCCTGTTTTTATTATTAATGGATTACTGTACTTGACAAGAAAATTAATTGAAACCATCAGCCTCTTTCCTTAACTGTTAGTGTAGGTGAACTAATGTCATCAAATCAGCATTTAAATTCATTTTCATTGGAAATTACTCCATTCCATAAATGATGCGAGGTGGCAAAAAGGTTTTTGTGTTTAAAAACATAAACATTGCTATTTTTCAATTAGGAACCAAAGCAACAGGAGGATTCACCGGTGAGACTATCAATCCATGATTACCTTTACTTTACTTTTTAATACAATTTTTGTTTTTCTTTAACCCTTTCTGGTAAGCATGGGACACTTCTTTTTGTTACCATGGCCTGTTATTGATATGACCTAGCTTTGACATGACCCAGCTTTGACATAACCTGTTATTGACCTGACTCGGTGTTTACCTGTGTCATAATGACCTACAGTATGTTGACATCTACCATTCACATGTTGACATACCAAGACCCTGTTTTTTTTTTTTGTTTTTTTTTTAACCTGTTGGATAGACCTGTTTTTAACATATTTTATGTGTTTACATATTTAATATTCTTTTTTGACTAGAAACTTTATTCAGTAAAACATAAAATAGTTACTGGTCTTCTAAATGAATAGAAACTTGATTAAATGTAGCACTATAATACACTTTTTAATTAACAATAATAAATAGGCAGATGTATTTAACTATAAATGTAAAGAAAAAAGTGTAATTGTGGTTCATAGAAAATAGCATAATTTCCTATAATTATAATAATAACAATAATAGACTGACTTTTAATATAGTGCAAATTAAGGTTTCTATGCACTTGATACCTAAAAACAGGATATCAGAGCATAAAATGGAAAAACAGGGTCAGAAATTGTTAAATACTCAAGTTCCAACTTTAATAAAATTTGTGAGTTCGATTTACAATTTCCATGGCTAGTGTTTATACTGTATGACTATTGTTAATATGAAATGGCCCATTTTTTAAATGATCTCATATTGACATGACCTTATATTGACATGACCTCATATTGACAAGACATTAGGATGTTTATGACGTGACATTTCTCTTCACAGTTCATCTTGCGCTGTTTGATTGCCTGTGTTACTTTGAGTGAAACATTTCATAATTTTCTATACCTAGTAAAACATCACTTTTGAATGCATTATCAAGTAATTCATTAAGTTGTTGTATGATTTTGTTAGTGTATCATTTACAAATGATTTGATTTCAATCATATATTTTCAGATATTTATTGCAGATAGACTTTCATTATTATGATGAGTTGAATGAAAACTCTAATAGTACAAAATATGCTTGATTTAATAGCTAGCATATGTATTATTTGATGATGGTTATAGTGGTTTTATCAAATATTATATCAACAATATATTTAGAGAATAGATATTTTTTATTGATATACTAATAGAGTTATTTTTATGATGGATATTACACAGTATAATATAAGGATTAACATGAAATATTTATTTTATGTTTAAATGAATGATTAGTCTTCAGATGACCTCACAATCTTTTATTTCCTCTTTTGGTCAGTTTTTAATTATCTTTTCTTTTGTAGTGCTTCTGTTACCTCCATCTATAAAATTTTATTTCATATGAAAACTATACGAGTTCTGTTTTGTTGGTTTCTTGAAATAATAGTTTTGACGTGTGAAGTGACATAACCGCAGTGCATGTGGTGATGCACAATACAAGCTAATTACAGAAAATCCTAACAATATGAATGCTAATTTTTTGTCTGAACAGTCTATAATTACCCTGTGCACCTATATAAGGCTTAGATATCACTATTCTGCCACTAAAAGGCAGCTGCCATCCAGATGAGCAGCTTAGCAAATGTGCTTGAAAAGGAGAAATTGTTGTTGATAAAAATAATGTATGTTTATAACTTTCTAAATATTTCTCTAGGTAATGTAGAGTTCCAGTAGTTTTCAAAATCTCTGATAATTTTGTTTTTTAATTGAATGCTGAAAACACCTAGAAAATTTTCAGTTTCTGTTCTCCGTTTGCACACAACCTTCCATAAAATTTGTGCTTATTACAATCTTCTAAATAACTACCTAACTAAATATAGCTGATTAATTCAGTGTTAATATTTGAATTGAGATCTAATGTGCTTTGTTTTGATTTTAAATTCCCGCAGGGAGCTGCTGCTACAGCGCCTACACCGGAGGCTAAACAGCGAACGTTGACAGCAGGCCAGAATTGTGCTGATTCTTATCGTTCCCTCCTTCAAAATGTTCACTTGGTAAGTACATTCTCTTAATCTCTATTTTTAGATTATGTTAGTGTAAGCGTTTTGGCGCGGCAGTTGAGGCCTTGTAGTCAAGGGCTTAAACCCTCACTGTGCAAGTCGCTTGTGCCCCTGGGCATCTTCGTTTGGCTGTCTATACCCAGGAGTATAAATAGGTACCGGCATGGTGCCGGGAAGGTAAACAGACTCGATGTGAGGAGGAGTGATGATCCCCAAAAGCATTGCACAGCTTTGCACCAACCCTTAAGAAAGGGGAATGGGCACTCCAGACCTCTGTACAGTTTACTTTTCTGATAGGCAAAATAATGTGTTTGAAATTAATTTTTTTAAATCTAAAGATTTACATTTGTACTGTTTATAACTCAAGAACATGTTTTGTACATATTACTTTGTCATTATGTATTGCAGTATTCCAAAAACAAATTCTATACAAAGCAATATTTTTTTAGGGTTTTAAGCATTTCCAGACATTTAAAATTTAACTATATGTGGTCACAGAAAAAATGGTTTTAATGATATGGTTATTTTAATTTTTGTCAGATGTTTACCAAACATGCCGTAAGCACCTTATATTATGCTGAAATTAATTATTCATGATACTGCTGACTAAAACTCTGCCCAGATCAAATCTTCTTTGACAAAAAAAGTTTTGTATGCCCATATATAGTCATGATGTGCCTATATATGGTCATAATATGATGTCATGATGACCATATTTAGGCATGTCATCAAATTTGATAGTCTGAACAGGGCTTTACTGTGTAATAACATTGAACAAGTGTGCAAAGTATTCTTTACTGTACATTTGTTTTTATGTATAATTTAAGTTGTATAAGAATATATTTTTCCTGTAGGTCATCCAAAAACCCACACCTGAGGGTAAACAGAAACTGGTTTATTACTCAAAACATGTGGCAATGTCAGTGAGTGAGGTTGTACAGGCTGCAGAGGCACTTAAAGGTAAGTGAAATTTGATGGTGCTACCAGTGGTAAGGGCTAAGTCCAGGGTTCCAGTAACCACCTCTTTCAACCACAATGTACTTGGAAGAAATGAATGAATTCTTGGCCCCCAGTGATATCTTGTTCATGAATTTTACATAAATATCCTTACAATATAATACAGTATTTGTAAAAATTGTGTTTATCTGAATATTGTAATAGTGAAGAGTATAGAACTGCAAAGGTCAGACTCCCGGGGTTTCTTTGGAATGTAATTTTATCAAAAAAGTACTACTATGAGCTAGAGGGCGTCCTTCAGAGAACGTAAAAAGAATTCGTATCCAACACGTGCTAGAACGCATTTTCGAGTTGTGAAATTTTCTTTAATGTTTCATTGCATGTGTACAAAATCAGGGCAGTTGGTCTTGCAATTCCATACTCTTTGCTATTAGTTTATTGAGGGTGTGGAAAATATTGAACAACTCTGAAATCCCAGTTTGATTTAATCAGTCACTGAAAATATATGTTCCAATCTATTTTGGCGAATTTTCTTAATTTTTGCATGAAGTGCAATGCAACACATTTTGTAGTGGATTGTCACATTCAAAATGTTTATCTGAAAGTTTTTTCAGAATGTCAAAATTTTGAAAACCTTTAAACAATCCTGAGATGTTGATTTCTGTTTGTGTCTTAATGTGAATATATTATTTAATTTTACCATATATTTAAAAGTATGATCGCAGTCTTGAATACAAATAATTTGCTTGTAGGTCCTGACTGGGTTGACCCAGAAGATCCACATGTTGTTGCAGAAAATGAACTGCTTGGTGCAGCTGCATCTATAGAAGCTGCAGCTAAGAAGCTGGCAATGCTCAAGCCAAGAAGAGGTCCAAAGGTATGTTATTTTGTAGTTCAAATTTTATAATTAGGCCAAATAAAAGATAAAACATGTGGTTTTTTTTGGTTTTTTTGGGGGGGGGGTGGTTATTTCCTCATCTTCTTTCTGATGGGAATATTTTTTTTTGGACTTTGGCAAAAAGTTTTACAAAAAATCTGATTTAAAAAAAACATTTTTTTTTGCATGCAGTTCCAAGTATTTGAAATAGGAAATTTTGGCTGGCCACAGTGCAGCTTCAGTACTGACATGTAATATCATTGGAAATAATTGTTATCCATGTGTAAAGGGGGTTTTGTCCTCCTCCTCCTTAGAATATACCTTGATGGAAAAAATGTTTTATTTTTATTTGGCCTTAAGAATAAAATTAGTATATATTAGCTCTACATGAATGTGTAATAGTTATTCTAAAGAAGTATTATTCTGAAAACTCGTAACTTTAAAAAGAAATTGAATAATTAATAGATGGAAACAATTATAGCAACTTCTTGAAATTTATGTCTCTTTGTTTTGCTTTGTTTTTTTTTTTCCTTTCTTTCTATCTCTGAATCTTAGCAGGCACCTAACATGTACACAACTCCCTGATATGTCTGTTATAGGTAGAATAAGGTGTTGTCTTCAGCCTATGATAGACATATGTGTTAGTTGTGCAAACAAGTACATCCCTGAGGGCGCTCTTCTATGTTCACCCTGCAACTGTTTTTATTTGAATTAACTTGTGACCTAAATGTTCATCTCTGCATACATATTTGGAACTGGATGTTGGAATCTCAGATTTCATATTTTATCTTTGTGAACTATTTCGCAAGTGAACAGTATTGTATAACTCTACACCTTGTGAACTCTGGCTAAAATACAGGCTTCATATGCACCTGGACAGAAGAACTAGGTTTTCAACATCCCGTTGTCATGGTAACCAGTCTGAAGGAATTCGATTTTTATCTCGGCTGAATTTTTCTTTGTTATTGGAGCAAGAATGATCAGAACATTAACAACAACAAAAAACCAGTTTTGTGTTTGTTTTGCAGCTGTGGTACTCATAGACTTTAAGATAACCCATACTGGCTTGGGATGTTCCCCTCATCAAGCAAAAAAAAAAGCAATTTTGGTAGATTTTCAGAAATGTTATTCCTTGTGAATTTCATCGGAAATGTTTTTTTTTGTTTCTCATGGTGAACAACACATTGGTTATGTGAAAGTGTTCGTTAGATTTTATAAACATGGATTGACCAACTGGATGTGAAGGACTATTTCAAGACAGTCTTGACTTTCTTGTAACCATGCAATTGACTCTTCTTTTTTTAACCTTTCATATGAAGGAAGCCAAACAAACACTCATGAACTATGTATTCCAGAAACATCATACAGTTTGAATTTCAAGTTAAAAAAATCTCTGAAAGGAAGAGTTTGATTTGAATTTTTTGAACTATGGTTTCAAATTCTGAAAAATAAAGAATATCCTGGTGTCAATAATTAACGCTAATAGTCTGTGATATTCAGCTATGAATATATTGACATTAAAACATTCATCAAATAAACACTTTAGTTTAATTTGATATTTGCTGTTGCAAACAGAAGTGTTCAGCCATAATGCTTGTTAGTGGTCAGTCCGTTTGATGACTCTGCTGGGCACATTGGTTATTAAACTGAGTGTGAATGCTTTGTCCAGTTTGTAGCCAATGTCCGGCCAGAGTTCAAGCTGCATCCCACAATTCTTTTTGTAGCCTTCCTCCAAGAGATGAACAATTCTATATTTATTGTCCCTGCTGATTAAGATTTAGTTGTGGATGCACAAAGGTTTTAAGGTACAAGCAAATCCAAGAAATCATAATTAGGTCTGGTAGGTTTCTATGTGGAAGAACAAATCTGGCAACCATTTTGAATGGTTATTTTTTTATCACCTTCATTTCATTCCATTATGTGTGGTGTCATCCTCATTTTCCATTTCCATCTGTGTCTTTGTTTTTAATGTTGGTTTTGGTCATCTTCATTTAAAAGTGTTGAGCAAAAGTTATTTATTTAAATTTATCTTTATCTTTTTTTACACTAGGCTGCTGATGAAAACTTGAATTTTGAAGAACAGATCCTTGAAGCGGCCAAATGTATTGCCAATGCAACAAGCGCCCTCGTGAAGGCTGCATCTGCAGCTCAGAAAGAACTAGTGCTGCAAGGAAAGGTGAGTTTAAACGCATTCAAAATGTCTGGCATTGTAGTTTTACTTTAAGTTTGGTTTTGTACTGTTTTTTTGTATGTTTGTTGAAAATTTAAAAGAAAACATTTTTGAACACAAGGGAATAATAAATATGAGGAGGTGTAATAGAAGGAAAGAAGAGAACTGTTTTGCAGGTAAATTATCACTGTGCTTATGGTATGTTCTGTTACTGATTAGACATTTGAAATGTTGTATACTTATTGTCTCTGTTGACCTAAGAAATGTGAAGAATCAATATTTAAATTTGTCGTATAATTAAATATCTTTAAAATTTTACCTAGACCCAGATTATCAAATTTCCTTCCAAAGACAAAAACTTGTCCCATATAGTCATGATGTGCCTTATATATGGTCATGATGTGCCTATATATGGTCATGATGTGCCTATATATGGTCATGATGTGATGTCATCAATCATTATGACCATATTTAGGCAAGACACATGTTTTTGTCAATTAAATATTTGATAGTCAGACAGGATTTAAGAGTAGTCATAAGAAAAAAGTAAATTTTACTATATAAACTGTATATGTGGGTGCAAGTGTTTATTAGATGTTGAGATTATTTACAAGTTTGTTTTAATTTTTAAATAGGATAAGGTGGAATTTTCTCAAAATTAGATTTGCTGGGCCCTTGTGTTTGTTTATTTGTGCTAAATGTATGCCTAAAACAAATTGCACATTCATGCATAAATCCATTTTAAATGCAGTAACCATAGCAATATCATTAGCTATTATGATAGACGAGCATGGTGTTATACTTTATATCTGCATTGCTGGAAAGTACATCTTTTTAATGTAAGTGATGATGGTTACTTATGACAGGCTATTACAAAGTTGACTCATATTTTTGCCCCACCCATCATCATTGATAGTCTAATGTCCATCAACGTTCTGCAGGCCTCACAGCATAGCTTGAAGAGACTGTCTGTGTATCTTGACACCCCCTATACAGAGGGTGAGGTAGGGTCATTATTAGTGCACACAAAAAAATGCATCCAGTACATCTAGTAAGCTCTTTCTCTAATATAGACCTTGGGAATGCATTCTAATTATATGTGATGATAATAACGATGACGACTGTACATAATAGATTGATTTATTTATTGATGGTGAGGGATGATAATGATTGATCATTATAATTATCACCTACTAATAATAGTTTTATCATGATGAGGCATGAAATTTAATTTGTAATCAAATTATAAATTGCCACAGGTGTTGAAATTCATGTAGTGAACCAAAGGCATCTACTGTATGTTGTATACATGCACATATAATATATGAATACATTCCAGTATCTAATTTGAATATGCATTGCATACATGTGCAGATACTAATCCATATTAGTTTCTACATTTGAATAAACATAAAGATATGCAAGTAAGCCTTTTGCATGTGCATTGTTGGTTTTTGATATTTTCTTGCAAAAGCCTATGCACTTGGACACTGAAAGACAATATCTACGCTATTGCATGTTTCTATGCAGTTATTTATAATACATCTTCTATTGCCATGGTGATATTACACACTAGTCTGTGATACATTCAGTTCTTTTATATTTAATTAGACCACAATCAGAATTGATTGATTGATTGATGGATGGATTAAATGAATTGTTGATTTTTACAATTTCAATCTCGGGTATAAAAAACAGAAATACATAAGTTTATAGATAGGCATTGTATTCACTTCAGGTAAGCCACACAAACTCGGGTACAAGCTTTATTTTCATTGAGTGGTACTATGACATAAATTTGACTTTCAGTATATAAAATTAATGTTTATTCCACACATGTAACAATGGTAAGTTTTAAACCACATATCATGCACTCTAATACTGTTCATAAATGTTTTCTGTCTTTTCTGTTGTGTTCCATTTTTTGTTGATTGATTAAAGAGAATATTAAGTTCTAATTAATAATTAAGAGTATTAATAAACCAAATAAATTTCAGGTCTCCCTCCAATTAAAGACCACTTTTTAAGCTTTGGTCTCTTATTAGAGAAGTATCTAAATAGCTAAAGGATACAGTAGTTGTATTTATTTTGGGTTGCAGAAATTTGGTCTTTAATTGGAGGTGGTCTCTGTACATTTCTAGAAATGGAGTAGTGTGATTTAAAAAAAAATACACTCAATATAAAGGAGTAGAGGAGTACGTTTATCAGTGTATATGTTGACGTGTACGTTAAATGTTGTCATTTTGAATTTGGTATGTTTATTAATATGTTGTGTATTTCTCTTTGTGTCTAAAAAAGCGTAATAATTAATATTTAATTACCTTAATGATAGAATGTGCGACTGTGCTTATTAATTGTATTATGTTCTTAACCTGTTTATATTAATGTCAACAATTTTATTCTTTTTCTATATATTTTAATATAATATTGATGGTTGAAGTTGTATCTGTAAATGTATATTCTTATTGATGTATTTATTGCTATTTCTTTCTTTTGATATTTTTATAGCTTGTGTATTTACTGTATTGAAATATGTCTTTTATGCTGCTATTAACAATCTGTTGTATCTTTCTTCCATATATATTGCTTGGCAATGTGAACAGGTTCAGGTAAAGTGTTAACCTGGTGCATGATTGGTTGATTGATTGATTATGCCATCAATTACATCATCACCATGTGAATGGATGTTTACAACCTAATCGTAAAACAAATTTTAAAAAAATCAATATTTTAAGCTAAAATTTGCATAAAATTATTAATGAAATGAATATTAATTTGGTGGAGAAGCCCCTCCTTTAGGGATATAAATACGTAATTTTACGTATGGTCTCGACTGGGATTGAAAACCAGCACCGTTTTTCCAACAAGTGCCCTAAGTTTATTATCCATTTGTATGGAAACGAAACGTTAATTGGAGATTTTGGGTATAAAGTATGTTCAGTACTTCTATTATTGGCACATAACTTACTGTCAATGATAATTATATTTCTTACAAAACAAACATATACATTATGTATTACAGATGTATATTTAGCCTTAGTTTTTGTAGTAATTAGTTATTTCTATGCATATATCCCTTTGGCTAATTGTTAGCTGATAAATTGCAAATATACTGTAGTACCCCTTTCACCATGTTTATTTCAACCCCAGCTAGAGTAGACTCAAATTGTCTAATTCCATTATTTGATTTATAACATCCCTCAACAAAATAGACCCAGTCATCTGGTAGGCCCACCATAAATGATGATTAAAAAAGAATTTCAATTGACCTTTACGATGTGACCAATCAGAAAAGTGCAATGCCAGGCATATGTGCTTATCAAACACATTTGTTGTCCCGCAAATGCACTGTGTGGACCTTAACAGCAATATCTAAAGGGACAGTGCTTAGGAGGATGGTTTAATGCAAAGTTTACTTTATGTTGGCTATTTCCATATTAGGAAGGACATTGGATATATACAACAAAGCACTATAAAAGCAATCACACTGGTCCAATCACAGTAGTTTGAGCAGACACAATAATTGATTACCCCGTGTAAAGATAAACCTTCAGGGGCACAGCGGTTACCCCGCATGAGATACACCTTCAAGGGCACAGCATGGGGAAACCACTTAAGAAAAGATGGGTGGTCAGCGCTGATGATGTTATAAAAATCAACCTATATTAATCCAATAAATAAATTAATACATAATTATAATGATAATATGATAAAAGAAATTATTGATAATGATTGATTAATAAATATTAATACTATTTAGCAAATATTTAAATAAGATGATGATGTTGATGATGAATGTAATTTGTTAGTCTAATATAATCTATGATGCCCATGAGTGCATCTGTGCACTTCACGTAAAAATAATAAAATAACATTTTACCTTCCACCAAACAATGTTAGGTATTATTATGAACACTTTGTATTTTCCTACATTATTGATGTTGCTGTTTGCAGGTAGAATTGTGTTCCACCAAAGATATTAGAAATACAAGATAGAGCACTCACATAGCAAATCACTAATCAGAGTCCGGTCATAGGATTCTGCACTTTTGTGTCTGTCATTTTATTATTGTTTTGATTTATTTATTCCTACTTGTTTGTATCTAACAAATAATGGCAGTGATTTCAACTTCCGCAAAAAGAGGTTATGCATTCACAGTTATGTATCTGTGGCAGAAGTTTTTTAGATCCAGCTGTACGCGGTGCCCCATTGTTTGTATTCCCACCATGCATCTTGGTGGAACAGTTTTTTTCTGTGGAGAACTCTATCTTATGTTTCTAGTATCTTGGGTTCTACTTTTAATTACATTGTGCATGAAACCATTAATTTATTGCAAATTAATTTGTTTGCTTCTGCTTTTTTTCCTTAAATATTTCGCACAAATATGAAAAAAATCTACGAGCAATCATCGTCCCCATATTGCAATTTTTAAACATATCCCAAGAACAGTTATCACAAGCTCCCAATTTGTTTTAACTTTGAACAATCTGTGGATCTGATATATTTTTACTCAATTTGAGTGTTAGGACCATTTACATTTGTTTTTATTAAGAATACAATGTATGAATAGGCTTCTCTCAATGCCTGAATAAGGAACACTCAGTGTTGCTTTTTCAAAGCAGTATACCCAGAAACAATGATTGGCTTAATTTTTTTATGAAGGGTCCAGAGTTTTGCAGATGGAAACCATCCTCCTTGCCCCTCCCCTCACTTCTTTCCCTTGCTGGCACCGATACTGCTTTACCAGAAATTATTTTGTTTTTAAAGTTACATACTTCTGTTAATTATATCGGTAAACCTAGGCTACATATAAAGCAACTATTTTGCTATTATAATTTTGATGCTGTTTTTTGAATGTGCATTGTCTTTTTTACTAGTTTAATTCCCTAGTAGTACAATTTTTTGATAGCCTAATTTAGTCTTCCTTAATGTTATGTTCAATTTCACAAAATTGGAAATTGCACTACAATTTATTTGGATTTTAAAAGGGTTGTTATTAGCTGTTTACAAAAGTACATCTGTAACTATTTGATTGATGTGTGGTTATGTGAGACTTGGAGTGTGACAAACCCATTTTGGTTATTTACAATCTCTCTGAAGTCATTGATACATTAAAGGCATGATAATTAAATTGTTAGTGCACATAATCTTTTGAAGTTTCATATTTTTAAAAATTACTATTTGCTTATGTAGTACTGTATTGCTACCCCTGATGGGTGTAATGCAGAATACAGTTGAAAACAAATTCTTGTGTAATGTAATTTTCTTTATATATTTTTGATAATTCATTGATATGTGATTGGCTGTAGCAAAACCCTACATTTGTTGGTAAAATTCAAAATTATGATTTGTTATTTTTAAATTGTATTAATTTTTAAAGAATGTTTATTTGACAATAATAATTTGAGTATTTTGTCCAAGTTATACATACTGTAGTTAATTTGTTGGATATCAGCCTAATAGGTTTTGAGAAAATAAAGATTCATTAATCAGTAGTTTAATATTAAGGTATATATATAAAACGAAATTTTAGATTATTTTTTAGTGATTTTGGCATAGGTTTTAAAAAAAATTATCTTTTTAGGCCTTTTGACTGCTATCATGAAATTTGAAATTCCAACAAATGTATGGATTGCCATATTCTGTCAAATATTTGCTTGTTAAACTGCATTTTGCTAATAGTGATGCATATTATATTCTATTCTTGAATGTTCATATATTTAAATCTGAGCATTCAGGTCTTTGGATAAAAGTGATCATGTTAGATGTTAATAGGTCTTTAGGTGTGAGTGCTCAGATCTTTTTGATATGAGTGCTTATCTTTGGGTGTGAGTACTCAGATGCCTTGCTGCAAGTGGTGAGATCTTAGAATGTGAGGTCTCGTGCATTTAGATGTTATCTTCTTACATTGATTTTTTAGATCTTTGTATTTTATATGTAAATGCTCATGTTTTAGATGTAAGTGCTCAGATTTAGATGTGAGTGCTCGGATCATGTGTGTGCTAAAGTCTTGAATTGAGTGCTCAGATCTGGATTTTGTTCTAAGATCTTTAAGTGGTGAGTGCTTGATTGTCATATGTATTGCTGACCTCTTGGAATTACCAGATATTGAAGTGCGGTAAAACATGAATATAATAATATGTAATAGATCCAAGTAGCACTTCATTCAATGAATGAAAACAAAGAAATGATCTGATTGGATAACTTAAAATTGTTATCTCAAATTGTTGATGTGTGCTCAGTTTTTATATTGTAGATGCCCAAGTCTTTCTTTGCTATGATTATTAGCATGTGTTTGCTTTGCATTGATCCTAACTATTAAGAATGAAGTAGTTTATTTGTTATGAAGGAAATATTTCTTGTTTAAAATTCAAATTGTTATATGAAAATTTAGAGCCAAATTTAGTATCATGTTGATTCTGAGTGTGGTAGTGTTTTTAATGGTTAATTTTTGATTATGGTAATGGTTCCAATGTTGTTGATCGATATTTTAATAGAATTGGTATATTTGTACAGATTAGTATATATTTCATTTATTAGGGTAATATTGATGTTTTATATTATAATAAATGCTTATAATGAGATTTAATTTATCTTCATTTTTACTAATCACTGATTTTTACATTGATTTGTAATGGTATTGATTAGGATTATAATGATAAATGATTTTCATAATAATGATTATTTATGTCAAGATAGGTCAGTTTATTTTACGTAAATTTTATATTTTAACATGAAATCACCAAGAGGTATTAATGTTATGTAAAAAAGTTTTTTAATAAGATTGTCGTATTTAATATATAGGTGATGCAAAACCCAACCCCGTACAGCGAAGATGGTCAGTGGTCCATGGGACTGATCTCTGCAGCCAAGAAGGTCGCTGCAGCTACTCACGGGCTCTGTGAAGCCGCCAACTCCGCCGTCCAGGGTCACGCCAGTGAAGAGCGTCTGATATCGTCTGCAAAACAGGTCGCTAGCTCCACAGCGCAACTTCTTGTTGCCTGCAAGGTGAAGGCTGATACTTTCAGTGAACCGATGAAGAGGTTACAGGTAAGTTGAGGGCAGCAGACATCAATATAGAGATCAGAAAATTTATTCTCTAGATATGGATACCTTATATTTCAACATATAAAATGAGGCTTAAAGTATCAAATTATGATTGAAAAACAGGGGGCTGTATTGTACACGCAACACATACAAATTTTTTTTTATGTGCAGATTGTCCGTAACACTCAAATTTACTACTGAAATGCAGCTACTACTGTAACTGTTAGTATGAATGAATTTAAAATGCAGGGAAATAAGATCTTAAAATGGTACTATTTGGAAGATTAGCCCTATATTTGGCTCCGTTTTTTGCCAGTTAGGTGAAGTATCAAGACCATAAAGAGAAGCAAAAAGTAGAAATTGCGGCTGTGAAACAGGGGTTGTCTTGTATACCCAACATACAAAAATTGAGGGTCTTGTTATACACAAATCTCTTTATACGCCACAATATATGGTAACTTTTATTCATCATTTAATGTGTGTAAATTTCTTTTATAATCAGTTTTGATAAACAATTATAACTTTTAAAGGTTACTCTACATGTATAAAAATAAATAATTCATTATTGCAGCAGTTATTAAGAATGCATCAACAGCTACATTTATACAAAGCTATTGTTATTATAATAGCTGGCTAGAGAAAGAATTTTTCATACTTTTTTTTTTCATAATAGAACAATATAAGTTAAGAAAAGGTTAGTTAATGTTTAATGTCTTTAATTTTCAAAGTGGTTTTAAATTCAGAGCTTTGCTTTTATGTTTCTAAAACAGGTGGTCTAAAGTACTGCAAACAAGTACAATATTTTTTTTATGTTAAGTTGATAATAAATTTAGTGGACAAAATTGAAATTAAGACAAATATAAGATCATTTGAATTTAATTATATAGTCAGTGTTTTATACAATCATATTTTGTCTTGAGGTGCTAAATAATATAGAAAAAAAAAAGATACAATCATAATAACAAATAAGTACATATGAAGTTAAACTCCGCCATTAATCCTCAAAAGACAAAAAATAATAAGCTTCAATTAGCCCTTAGAGAGGTCCCAATCTGCAACAACTGCTATCACTAGAAACGAAAATACGGAAATAACTTTACAAATGTAAAAGCAAAAAATTAATTCTATAAATCTTTTAATTATGTAGACTGCTGGAAATGCCGTGAAGCGTGCCTCAGACAATTTAGTGAAAGCGGCGCAACAAGCTTCACAGTGGGCCGAAGAACAAGAAACGGTATCCATACCAAGTGCTGTCGTAGGCAACATCGCCATAGAAATGGATGCCATGGAAGCGATTCTTAGGAAAGAGAAGGAGCTGGAAACAGCCAGGAGAAAGCTAGAAGAAATCCGGAAACTTAAGTACAAAAACAGGGAACCAGGTGACTCAGATTAATAGGACAGAACACATGTTTTAAAGAACACTTTTAGAAGTTGACCCAGAAGCTAGTGTGAGCTTTGTATATTAAATGAAAGCCAACAATTTTACAATCACATTGTGGATTTAAATGCCAGTTAATACCAAATTAATGTCAGATTAATCCAGGACTAGGGTTTATTTAATACCAGATTATTCCAATATTAATAATGGATTAATATGGGATTGATATTGGATTAATTAATTACTTTATAATTGGTTGATGTAAGATATGGACCAGAGAATAGTACAGAAGTTTTAAAGCAGTGCCACGATTGGACCCACCAACAAGATGTGTGTTGAAAGTAAATTGTATAATTTTACTGATTGTTTTCCTATGATACTAACACTTGGAAGAGGCAAAACATAGGGATATTTTGTTTAGCATACACTGTTGTGTTGTGAGGCTATAGCCATGTTTTATTTTTCTCATTTTTTTTATATATTGCTTTGTAAAATATTATTACTGTCCAATTACTAAATATATCGGTGCTATGAACGGGAAACAGTTATTTTTAATTACATATTACAAATATTATTACTTTTATATAATTTTAGCATAATGTATCTTAGATTATTTAACAATGAGTCTACTTATTAAAAAGCAGTTTAGAATGATTGATTGGTTGCTTGTATGTCAAAAGTATTACATCATTTATCTTGCCAATCACAGATTATTAACTGAATTTATAACAAACTGATTCATATAAATTGTACTATTTTATAACTTCATTGAAAATCATTGTACTACAATAATTTAACAGGTGAAACAAAGATCTTATAATAAGATAGCGCTATCTGTGATTTACGCATGACAAATAGAAGTGTTCAATAAAACTATGCATAAAAAGTAATCATTTTTGAGAGAGAACGCCCAAGTTGTTACCATTACAGAATTTGCCCGCAGAAATCATGTGATGACCTAATCTTTAGTTAACGATCTTTGATGTCAAAGTTGAATAGTAATCACTTTTTCGAGATCTTTGCTTCCAAATTACAAGGCTACTACGGTGCCAATAAAAAGCAACAAATATAATATTCTTTGTTCAATGCTACCACCAGAGGGCAAATGTTTGCCTATATCAACAATTCTACATCTCATTATACTAAATATTATAAAACTATACTAATCATATTGTATACTTTACTAGCATTGTGTTTCCCAAGGAATTCAAACATCATCAAAAAATATCATTAAATTTGTAATATGACTTGAATTAAATATGTTTTTATGTGGTGTGTGCTTTGTAGATTAGCAAAATTACCGAAACATAATTGCTAAAATAACAAATCAATTACTTCACTTTTAATGATTGTATAATTTATGTCAACAAGCAGTAACAATAATTGTTATTAATCCATTTTTAATAATATTTATGTTATTGCAGTGTTGGTAGATAGAAGAGCATTTCAGCAAAATATGTCATGAAAAGTTTTGTAGAGCCCTCATCATGCATAATTATTTAAAATAAATAAATAATACTTGAAGAAATGATGTTATGTTTTGTATAGTTTTAGGCTCATTGACATTGATGTGAAAGGTCATTATAATAAATTACTGTATCTTCATTTTAGCTACTGTAAACTATCATTTATGTTGTTATCACTGGTTGCATTTGAATGTACCGTTATTTATATCTCATTGTTATGGACTCCAATCTTTTTAGTCTTACAATGATATATAATATTTTATCATATAAATTGATCATGTTGTAATCCTTAAGATCAGCCTTCTCAAATTTGCTATACATTTTATAACTATGTTTAAAATTGTTATTAATGGACATTTAAATTGCTCAAAAAGTATAATTGGATATATGAAATACGTTAGAATTGTAATTATGATAGATTTTGTATGAGTTTTAATGATTGTCACAATATACTGTATAGGTAAAATAATATTTGCACTACAGTATGAGAAAGCTGAAAAATGTCACGATGTTAATAAGAATTATCAGTATTATCATCATCATCATTTATTATCATCTTCATATTAACCATAAGACTTCATCCAACCAAATATTATCTAAATAATTTGTTACTTAAACCACAAAAGTAACACAATACAGGTAGATTGTGTAAGTTCGTGGAAAAAAAGCGTGTTAAAATATGCACTGCTATGAACTTTTTGTGTGGTAAAGAATGTATAAGTGCTTGGCGATCAATACGCACACTTATTTTAACATACTTTTTTTGTTTTCATGAAGTAACTTGATCTACTTTGCTTGTGTTAGTTTGTGGTGTGAGTGACAAATGATATCATCATCATCATCATCATCTTAATTATCATTATCCTCTTATTTATCATGGTAATTATTATAATTACCATTATTATTGTTAATAAGCATCTTCACTAATTACCATTATCTACAGTACATATAATCAATATCAAATGTATCAACACAATCATTGTCATAAAAATTTATCAAAATTTTTATCATTATCATCAACTTAATTATCAATATCATCATCAACTCATCAATAATTAGTATTATCATCATCATCAAAGTAATAATAAACTTAACATCATGACTGTGATTTGAAAATGATTTGATTGTAAGTCAGAAGGAAGGCTTTAAAATTCAATTGTCTTCCTCCACTTTGGTCTATAATAGCTTCTTAACATATAATTTTTACTATAGGAGTACAGTATATCTATATTTTTGCAGTCTTTTAATGTTGAAAATTATCAGGTTTAAAATTATTCTCTCTATATATATTAAATCCTGATCTTTATCTCTTTAGTTAATGTAAATTCTATATAATATGACCTAACCAGAGGATTCACATTTAACACTTACTAATTACGCACTAAAAATAGTCCCGTCAAATTGTGCTTTATGACATTAAATAAACGTTTTTTCTTTAAATAATTTATTCATAAATTTTATTTTGATTAATTCATGTAACAAGTAGTTCTTGTTAAAGTATACATAGTTACTTATATATTAAAATTAATTTTGAAATATGAAATTGTTTTATAGGAAGTAGGTCAGATAGAGATGAAGTATCATCAACGTGGGCTGAGTGTTTATTATCAAAATCATGTAGATTGATTTTGATGAGTACTTTAGAATTAGAGTGTTGGAGATTCAAAACATTTTAGATGATAATTTAAAATAAAGAATTAAAATACACTGGTAATAAAATGAAAATTAGATTATAAGTAGCACTGACGTTAAACTATTAAAAATATCTTTGTTATTTAGATTAATTTTCATACACATTTTCTATGTATTTAAACTTTGGTATGTGTACAACAGAATGATCAAACCGTGTGTGGGGTCAGTTTGTTGCCAAACTAAACTAGTACATGTACTCTCATGTGTGATACATTTTCTCTTTTTTATTTGCAATTTAGTGATCAAAATAACAGCGCATGTCAGATATTAAATGCATTTGCTGGTGCCTCTTATACATATCGTTTTGTTCTGTTCTATTTTCTCAATGGTTTGTGTAATTCATTCGGTGGTTTAGTGGTATGATGCCAGGCTAGTGATGTTGAAGAGAGATAATGGGCTTGAGTGATTGTTGTTTATGGGAAAACTGCATTCAAGAGTGTATATGAGATAAATAGATAAATGAAAGCAGTGCCAGAAGGAAGAGTGTGGATGGCAGGGAAGTGAATTTAACATCCAAAATTACAATCCCTCCTTAACCATGTCTCTCAGACCAAAAATAAATACTGTATATGCAAAAAAATATATTAAAATGATGTGTGAATATAGGCTGCTTTCTTTCGAATCAATCAAACCCGACCAAAAATGGCAGCAGAAATATTTAATTTTACACTTAAGTTCAATTTTAGACACAATGGAAAAATTGGCATTTCCCGGTATCAAGAGGGTCCATATTCTTAAGATATTCTTGCCTCAGCCCCAGTGATCATCGTGGGGATGAGGTGGTTGTTGACTCCCAAGCCAGCGGCATTCTTCAACTGCGAGTCTATGTTGAGACTGCGATGCTTCAAGTGTTTTAAATGCACACTCTAAGGCTCTGTCCACACTATCAAATTTTTCTTTGACACAAAAATGCTGTATGCCCATATATAGTCATGATATGCCCATATATAGTCATGATATGCCCATATATAGTCATGATCTGATGTCATCATGACCATATTGAGGCATGTCACATGTTTTTGTCAAATGAAATTCGATAGTCTGGACACGGCTTAAAAAAAATGGGTTCTTCAGCTGTCCTGTATGGAACACCTGTAGCACCTTTAAGATTAAGAGAAAAAAAAGCAAAATAGGTTCCCTAACAGGGTCCTTCGAACAATTTTAGGTTTATTAAAGTATTTTTAGAACTATTTACAGAACCCTTCGAAAAAACGAACCTTTTTACACCGAGGGTTCCATATACAGGACAGCCAAGAACCTCTGAAGAACCATTATTTCTAATAGTGTACTATAGTTTAAACAAAACTGAGAATTGGATGATGGATTTTAGAATAACAGGGGTCCCAAGTTTAAAGAAGTTCGTTTCCAGAAGTTGTGTTGCGATGAGCTTTCTTAGCAATAGCTCATCTAATTTGTTTTTCTGCTTATGGTGATACCAATCGTAACTGACTTTCATAAGACAAATGATAGTGAAGGATAACTGTAGTAAAACATGCACATTTAATTAATTTTAAGATATTGGTTATTTACCAGGGGATTGACTGGTTGCGGGATAGTGCGACAGGATGTCCCGATTTCCAAGACACTCCCTGCGACGGACTTGTGGGAGTCCACTATTAAAGGGAATAAAATTATTATTATTATTATATTTTAACTGAAATTGCAAAACCAAGTAAAATAATCCGTCTTTGTTTAGTAGTAGTTTGGTGTGTACTGTATAAGTATTTTTATGGTTTGTTGTTTTGCTTGTATCTGTTTAAGTACAGTAGTGTTCTGTTCTCTCCTCTTATTGATTTGATTGAATTTTGTATTTTGAAAATTTGTCCCAATTTTTTGTCTTTGTTTTTATTTCAATTAACCCCTAAGTAAAAAATAGTTTATCTATGTAGTACCTTGCAAATCAACCCAGAAACCCGGTACTTTGTTGATTGTTTATTGTGGTAGCCTCCCTTCGCTGCCAATTGTTGCTTCCCCGGTGACATCATGAGGGCATGGTGAAGGCTGGTTACGATTTAGTGGCACATCGATTGAGTATTTTCATTCATCT